ATTAAATAATTAATACAATTATTATCAATCTCTAATTTTATTATATATATTAAAAAATATATATAATAAATATATTCTTATCTTATATTCTAAAAACACATAATAAAAAAACCTATATAAATTGAAAAAACTATTAACATTTGTCCACGATAAAATAGAAAAAATTCCATTAAATACACAAAGAGACAAGCAAGCACCTACCCCACAGCTGGTGAGTTTTCGTGAGTTATCTTCTCTTCCTTTTCTCTCTCCACGTCCTTATCTCCAAATCAGTTTTGTTCATTGTATTTCTTATATAGGGAAATGTTTTAGATAAAGGTTACCAGTTTTTGCCACTATCTAGCTGAGAAAAGTGAACTGGGTCAATTATGGCTGCCAGGAGGATATCATTGTTCCTTTCTCGTTCATTCACCTCAGCTTCCTCTCCTCTGCTCTCCAAAGGTATTCACCATCTTATATCTCACTCTTCTTCTTTTTCTGGGTTTATTCAGTGATCGATTCCAGTGTTCTCTAGAGATATATATATTCATGATCTGATTCTGATGATATCTTGTTCTTCATCTGGGTTTTTCGAGTTTGGTTCATATGTTCATAGAGTGATTGATTCAAGTTCTTTTGGTTTGTTATTTATTTCTGTTAAAGGTTATGACTTTTAATGTTGATCGGAAACTTGAAAGTCTGTGACTGTTTTTGTCAACTTTTTCTTTTTAATTAATTCCTAATTTTTAGTAATAAATTTATCTTTTTTTTACCCCCCTTTTTTTTTTTCTACTATATTTACGCTTTATTTTAATTTCACATGGGGTTGCTATTTAGGATAGTCAAACCATTCAAATTCCATGGTTTTACAAAACTGGGTGTTTTTCCTGCCTTGATTGGTTGCCGAGAAAATGTACCCTAGAAAGATGGAAAATTATCATATTTTTCCTTCCAGATTCCAAATTGACATCTCTCCATTTCTCTCGTTATTCAAAAAATGCTAAAGACTTCCTCCTTTTAGATATCAAGGAATAAGCATGCGATGCTGTTCCAAAAAAAAAAAAGAATAAAGGTATGATGGTAAGCAGGAGGGATTTTGGAATCTTGTCTGCAAAACAAAACTTGGAGGGCCCGTTATAACAAGGGCAAGTTTAGTAGGAAAGTTTTTAGAGATAAAGTGAATGGGCAAGTACCATATAAATGTTTAAAATTTTTGTAGGAAAAGTTAATTAATTTTGTAATAAAATTCTGTGAGAAAGAAGCAAAGAGAAAGGATAAGCTTTTTAGCAAATTAAATCATAACGCAATCCATCTCTTCGCCTACTTGATTTCCCTTTCAACCAAACATATCCTTAGAGTTTTGTTGGTGTTGTTAACTTTTTTTCTGTGTTCGGGTGAGGGAAAATATTTGTTAAAAGTGTAAACCTTTTACCCTTATTTTGTTATAAGGGTAAAGAATGATTAAACGCAACTCTTATATCTCATATTTATAGAAATTTTAGTTATTTATTTATTTATTTTTAATGTTTGAGATTTATAATGACAAAGTTTATATGGTGTAATATTGATACGTGACAATAACAAACTGGTACTAAAGAATCCAAACAGGGAGAAAGTGTGGGGTGAGTTATTGTCATATTCTAAATAATTAATACCATATCTTTTTAATGTGATTGTCAATTATACTCTTACATTATATTTTTTCTAAATTTTTTTTTTTTGTTTCTTAATAAATTAAAGGGTATAATCATCAATTAAAATAAAAAAGTGTGCATTAGCAATTGATGGTGTGGCAATAATATCAGCCGAAAGTGTGGGGAAACCTTAACCCCTTAACGAAACACAGCATATGTGTTCCCACATATATTGTTTCCAGTTCATGTTCATTTGTTATACTTGTATTCACTTGTTGAATTTATTTTTCAAGGGGTAAATCCTATCCGGGTGAGAGGAATTTCCAGATACAGTACCGCCACAGCTCTTGAGGATCCAATCACTCCTCCTGTCAAAGTGAATCATACTCAGCTTTTAATTGATGGAAAGTTTGTTGATTCAGCATCAGGTGGCCTTTTATTTTTATTATGTATTTAAGGATACTGGGGTGAATGTTGTTTTTCAGCACTTCTTTGGCTCATTGTTTTTGAGCATTATATGAAACAGGAAAAACTTTTCCAACCCTGGATCCCAGGACTGGGGATGCCATTGCTCATGTTGCTGAAGGAGATGCTGAAGATATCAATAGAGCTGTCACTGCAGCTCGCAAGGCCTTTGATGAAGGACCATGGCCAAAATTGACTGCTTATGTAATGTTTTCTTGATTAACTTCTCTAGCTTGGTGTGTTCTGTTATATAATCTGGTCTGTGGCCTTATTTATCTATCCCTTTTAATTTTCAGGAAAGATCAAAAGTATTGTTGCGATTTGCTGATTTGATTGAGAAGCATAATGATGAAATTGCAGCACTTGAGACTTGGGATAATGGGAAGCCATATGAACAGGCTGCAAACGTTGAAGTGCCGATGGTTGTACGTCTAATGCGGTACTATGCTGGTGAGTAAAATGAAAAAGGATGAATAACTTTTCCATCTTAGAGTGTATTGACTCTTTTCATGGCTTATGTTTTGTCTTTTTCATGAAAATCAACACGATGTTGTCTATGAGATTTCAGGTTGGGCAGATAAGATTCATGGTCTTACAGCTCCAGCTGATGGACCGTACCATGTGCAAACATTGCACGAACCAATTGGTGTTGCTGGTCAAATAATTCCATGGAACTTTCCTCTTCTTATGTTTGCTTGGAAGGTTGGACCTGCCTTGGCATGTGGCAACACCATTGTTCTCAAGACAGCAGAGCAGACACCACTTTCTGCTATTTATGCAGCCAAGCTACTTCATGAGGTGGTTTCTTGAGCATAAATTTCAATTACTACTCTCTCATATTATTGAGTTTTGTTGTCTCGTAGAATTAGTGACTAGGATATCAGGCTTCGATCCCAACTTTTCCCACCATCTTAAATAAGATTGCGGAATCTGAGATATCTTTATTGTACCTTTGGCAACACTATAATTTTAGAATTAAGCCTGTACCTTTCTTTAATGTATACAGGCCTATGAAGTATGAATTGTATCTTTTTCTATGGGAGGGTAATTGGCATATCACATTTTGAAGAGAAGAAGCAAAGTTCAAAACTCTATGCAGATATCATACTTTTTGTTTGCTTTAATCTTTTATTTAGTGATTGACTGATATTTTGTTATGGTCCTGAACTTATGTATGATTGGATATGTGTACAAACACTGGCTGTTAGATATGGTATGTTCTTGATTTTTTCTTTTCCCTTCTCATAAGGTAATCTTTTGACAGGCTGGGCTTCCTGAGGGTGTCATAAATGTGGTTTCTGGTTTTGGTCCGACCGCTGGCACAGCTCTAGCTAGTCATATGGAAGTGGACAAGGTAACTTTCGTTCTCAAAGCACTGATTCAGTCCTAAATGAACTTTGATTTCTAAAGCAATGTTGTTCTTGTAGAATGCAATTTAATATGCTTGTTCATAAATTTCAAACTCCGGAAGTACCAAAAAAATCCACCAAATATTAAATCATTCCATGATTCTTCTAGTGCATCTCTTAAGCTAAGGGCAACCATTTTGCAGCTTGCTTTCACTGGATCAACTGATACAGGAAAAATTGTCCTTGAGTTGGCTGCAAAAAGCAATCTCAAACCAGTTACTCTGGAGCTTGGAGGGAAATCCCCTTTTATTATATGTGAGGATGCTGATGTAGACAAGGCAGTTGAGCTGGCTCACTTTGCTCTCTTCTTTAATCAGGTATATCCTAGTAAATGCCTGATAAGAATTCAATTTTTAGTCAGTTATGACCACGATTTTGAAATGTGCTTTTTCTTTAATCAGGTATATACTGGTAAATGCCTGATAAGAGTTCAATTTTAATCAGTTATGATCACAATTTTGAAATGTTTGCAGGGACAATGCTGCTGTGCTGGCTCCCGTACATATGTACATGAGAAAGTATATGATGAATTCCTAGAGAAAGCAACGGCACTTGCAAAGAAACGCTCTGTTGGTGACCCATTCAAGAGTGGCATTCAACAAGGTCCCCAGGTAAATTGTGGGTCATCACAACAGTTTTGATGTGAAGTGCTTTTCATATCAGTACCTCGGAAGATATTTTTCATGTTTCACACCGTCCGCTATAATTCATAATCTCACCTCTCATGTTCTGGAATCAACACTGATGGTGGTTTTCTCAAAATTTTCAGATTGATACAGAACAGTTTGAGAAGATACTGAGGTACATAAGATCTGGTGTTGATAGTGGAGCAACCCTTGAGACTGGAGGAGAGAGACTTGGGGCCAAGGGGTACTACATTCAGCCCACAGTTTTCTCCAATGTTAAGGTATTCCTTTTGTTACTCCTAAATAGCTACATTACCTGAGAAAGTTTACACATGTTTATGGAGAAAAATCAATGGAAAGTCTTTTATCAGGATGACATGTTGATTGCCAAAGAGGAAATATTCGGTCCAGTTCAGTCCATCTTGAAATACAAGTGAGCAATTACCCTTGATCTTTGCCATCTGATTACTAAAGTAATTTAGTTTGACATATATTAATAGTGCTCCTATCCCCTGATTCCAGGAACCTTGATGAGGTTATACGGAGGTCAAATGCAACTCGATATGGACTGGCTGCTGGGGTCTTTACACACAACATAGACACAGCGAATACCCTCTCACGCGCTCTGAGGGTTGGGACAGTTTGGGTAAATTGCTTTGATGTCTTTGATGCTGCCATTCCATTTGGTGGATACAAGATGAGTGGACAGGGAAGAGAAAAGGGTATTTACAGTCTCTCCAATTACTTGCAAGTCAAGGCTGTTGTCACTCCCTTGAATAACCCGGCATGGTTGTAGACCCCCCTTCCAAACTTGTTTTCCTTCTCTTCAATCCTTGGATTGCATGAACAAGTGAGGCAGAAATGAAGATGATGGAGACGAATAATCTCGCCTGTTATTCGGTGTTAAGAAATATTAAGGCAAATCCGTGCTTAATGAAGATCTAATTTTCACTTATCTTTGTTTTCTATTCATGTCTTTCCTGTTTGTTATTTCTGCTTGTCTGACTGTTGCAATTTCTCTGTAAGTTGGTTCTCCTGAGAAACTACCTCAATGGAATAAGTGTTTTTTTTTTGGGTTTCCCTCCTTTATGAAGGGAAAATTGAATTCATTGAGATCCTGTGATATCTTACATTGCCATGATTTCCATTACGACAAAGGTTAATCATTTCCCCTTTTTCCCTTTTTGTCACAAGATTCTAACTAAATACTTTAAAACTTTATAATAATAATAAGGTTAAACTCCCATTTTGGTCCCTCAACTATCATACGGACCCCTGACTTAGTCCCTCAACTCAAAAAATCCCTGATTTGGTCCTTATTGTTTATCATTTTGACTTCAATTTAGTCCCTTTGTTAAAAATCCAGTGACATGTCTCGTTAATTAACTGGAGAATGATGACGTGTCCAAATAACTTGACACATCAGATGCATACCTGAAAAAAAAGACAACACGACAAAAAAAAAAAATAATGACATGGAAAAAAAAAATAAAAAACTTAAAAAATTTTTTCTTTTTCCTTTTTCTTTTCTTTCCCTTTCTTTTCCCCTTGCAACCCAACGCCTACCGGGTTCGAAGGAACCTAGGCGTCTTGGAACCCAGGGCTTGGGTCTTGATGGAACCCAGGCAGCCTGGGTTTCGAGCGAACCCAGGCGTCTTGGGTTCGATCGAAACCTAGGCAAGGCTCTGGGTTCGTTTGAAACCCAGAGCCTAGGTTCGGCTCTGGGTTTTGAACGAACCTAGGAGAAAAAAAAAATTCTCTTTTTTTTTTTCTGTGGATTTGGTTGGTTGTGACGATGAAGAAGGCAAGGCTTGCTGAGGAACTGGAGAGCACTGTTGTTCTAGGTTCGAATGGGTTTAGAGAAGAAAGGGAGAGAAGGGTTCAGGTTTTGCAAGAGGTGGGATCCACTTTTTTTTCTTGTTTGGTTTTGGGGTAGAATGGTCATACTGCCATGTCATTTTTTTTTCAGGTGTGCATTTGAGGTGTCACTTTATTGTTGACATATCATCGTGCTTTTGTTAATCAAGGACACGTCACTAGATTTTTAACGGATTTTTAACTAAAGGACTAAATCGGGGTCAAAATGGTAAACAGTAGGGACCAAATCAGGGATTTTTTGAGTTGATGAACTAAGTCGGGGGTCCGTACGATAGTTGAGGGACCAAAATGGGAGTTTAACCTAATAGTAAAAGTGAAAATTAGCAAGTTGTGTTGTCGCACTTGTATTTTATGTAAGTCATAGTGGAGATATTTTAGTATTATTATTATTATTATTATTATTATTAATATTTTAGTTATTATGATGTTTTATTTTTTTTAATTTAGAAAGTAATTTTTTAATCTATATCTTAAAAATATAAGTTAAGGATTTTTTTATTATTAATTTGTATAAAAAAATATAAAAATTAATATTAATTTGAGTGT